GGGCAACTTGGGCAGAATTCGGGTTCTGGTCGCTGTTTTTTGGGCTCAGGTTTTAATTCAGGATTTAGGCCAGGTCTGAACCTGCTGCCAGTTCTTTGTTGTCCCTATAATCCGAGTTCTGGCACCAAGTGAGAGCTTCAGCACTGTTAGAAGGTGCTAATAATGAACCAGACACAATTTTAATTTGATTTAAATCCATTTTCTCCCATGTAGCTGAGTGTTGGTGGCAGATTGAGGGAGAAGAAACAAATCCTGTGGAAAACAGATTTGTTTTCTGAGGTTTTCCTCAATTCTCCTGTAATTCCTGTGTTGTGCTTACCTTGATTCCAAGCAGAGGAAGGTTTCAGGATCATGGATATCCAAAGAAGAAGAAAAGAAGGAAAATATTCCCTTTGAGGCAACTCCCAGCACGTGCACAGAGCTGGGCTCTCCAGCAATCAGTAGCTGAGGAAAATCTGGATTTCATTTCTAATTCCACCACGAATTTCCCTCTTTTCCAGGGTCTGCCAGTGCTGCTGAAAACCCTTTTGAGAACCACACCAAAAAGTGACCACCCCAAATCCAGCTGCTCCTTCCCACTGCCCAGAGCCCGAGGAGGAGCTGAGCAGAGGTGAGATGCTCCAACCAGTGCGGAGGGATGAGCTTTTGTTGGGAACTGAACTGATCATTCACATAATTAATAACGGATAATTAATTAACACTCTGATTTTTTGTGCAATATTTGTGCCGTGCTGTATCAAACAAATCCATTGCTGCTGCGTGGTTGTAAAACCAACTGAAAAAAAACAATTTTTCACTTGAACTGGATCATCTTTAAGTATCCTTCCAACCCCAATCCATCCTTTGATTCCATTAAATTCCTGGGTGCAAAAATCCATATTAAGTGGAAAACAGACTCAAGTTTCACCGAGATCATTAAAAACTCTATTTTATTTCATTTCCCACCCACCACCCTGCTCAGAAACCTGGATTTATTTTTGAAGTCCCTAATTAAGGATGGGAATTTGGTGCCAGGCAGATGCTGTCATTTCTCCCAGCCCTTCCAGCCAAAACCCAAGCACATTTTGGTCCCTTGGGCTCTGAGGATGGGTTTGAGCATCATYTCACTCCTGGGACCTGCGCTGTCCAAGTTTAATCCCAAAATTCCTGGAAGAACCCCCTGAAAACAGCAGGAATTGCTGCAGGATTTGGGCAGAAAGCACATGTTAGGACAGGCTGGGGATTTGCTTTAATCCCCTCTGGTTCTGTTTTGGATTTGCTGCGTTCCTATTTGCTAAATCACTTTTCTTTTCCACCYTGTGCCCCYRTGGAGGAGGAGGAGGGAGATTTTGGAAGGGGGGAGATTTTGGAAGGTGAAACTCAGTCCAGAGCAGTGCCACCAATTCCTGCAGGGGTTTTGAACTCAGCTCTGCCCCTTTTCCAACACTGAACCTCTCCTTGGATTCCTCACAGAAATCCCCGGGTTTGAAAGGGTGAGGGAGTTGGGATTTAGGGGCTGGGATTCAGGGAGCCTAAATAGCGCCAAAAAATTGCCAAAGAATTGCCAAAAATTGCCAAAAATGGCCAAAAATTGCCAAAAATTGCCAAAAATCAGGAGAGCAAGGGCATCCTTGAGTTGGATGGAGCTCTGAACAGCCTGGATGGAGGAAGCTGTCGCTGCCCATGGAACTGGAGGAGCTTTAAGGTCCAACTTCCAACTCATCCTGGGATTTTATTGATTGATTTATTATTTTTGCTTGATTTGTTATTATTTTTTAAAACTATTTTTCATTTCTTCCCGACATTAAAAAATATTCTAAGGGTCTTGTTTCTCTTCTGCCACACGTTTTGGTGTGGTTTAGCAGGATTTCCTGGAGGGAGAATCTCCAAACCTGTCACAGAGCAAAGCCTCATTTATGGAGGAGTAAACAATTCTCACTTCTCCTTTTTGGTTTAACTTTTTTTTTTCCTTTCCCCTTGAGCCGAAATTTGGGAAAGTCATTTCCTGTCACCTGGTGAGGCTTGGAACAAGCAGGGAAAAAACCCCTCTGGTGTCTGCTCATTCCTTGGGTGCACCACAGCACCCACAGCTCCTCTCACCACTCCCAGAGAAAGTTTGTGTATGTCCTAAAATAATTCCATGCTTCTGGCCCACAAATATTCCTGTTTGGTCAGCCTTATATAGAGTAATTACTGTGTGACACAGCACCGCAGCTGGGCTGGGCTTATTTTGGGCCAGGAGATATAAAAAGCTGTTTGTGGGGAAAAAAAAAAATAAATAAATAAGGTGCCTGTGTTTGTTGATGTGTCATCCTAAACAAATGAGAGCAGGGACTTGTTAATTTGCTTTTCTAAAAATTATTTTGTTTTAAGAGTTGTTTGTGAGAGCCTTGGTTTGGTACCAAAGGCACCCAGCCTGGTTAAATTAGACTTGTCTCCAGTCACCAAAATTCAAATTATTCTAGGGTGCTGTGGTGATATTTATAGGGTGGCACAAACCCAAGAAAAGGGGTCAAAGCTCAACTGTGGCAAGTTCATTTTCCTGAGCAGGTGATGGGTGGGAAGAAACACCTTGAGGGAAAGGTCCATCCTCCAAATCCTCRGATTTCCGAGCAGGCAGCTCATTCCCACAGCTCTGCGTGGTGTCAGTCGTGTTTTTTCAAGCCCAACATCAAAATCCCTTCTAATTTTAATACCTTTGATATTTATATGCACGGATTTGATATTTTTCTCATATATGGACATATAGGAATGCAGCCAGAGGAAGGGAGAACAGGACCATGAACAAACATTTGTCACTGCTCAGCTGCCCCCAAATGCAGGTGCCTCTGTGGGAAACAAGTTGGGAAAGCTKTTTGTGGGGAAATCGGGATGTGATATCCCCTTTTACAGTTTCCCATGCTGGGATGGTCGTCTCACTTCAAAAATTCCCATCCTACCCAATTTCATGAACAATTCCCGTATTTTTAGTCATCCTAGGAAAGAATGTTGTCTGCTGGGATGGGCAGAGTCCATGGATGGGCAGATCCACTGGCTCTGGAGCAGGAATTGGGGTTTTGGTGTCTTTTTTGTGCCGTTTTTTTTGTGCCTCAGCACTGTTCTGAGCTGGTTTTAACAGCAGAACGGGACCTGTAACCCTGAGTTACCTTGGCCAGAGCTATTTCAAGATGGAATTGAAGTTTGGAGAGCTTTTGGGACCGGAGGAATGGAGCAGTTATGAGAAATATTCCTGTGGTTTGGCTTTGTTGAGGAATTCTCCTGAATTTTCCTGAGGAATTGTGTCGATGGGATGGGGCTGGGAAGCAAACCAGGAGCTGGGATCAAATCCCTTCACTGGGATCAAATCCCATCACTGGGATCAAATCCCTTCACTGGGATCAAATCCATTCACTGAGGAGAGACACAGCCCTGGGGTGATTTTTCCTGGAAAAAATTCTAAAATGCGCACGGAAAACAATTCCTCATAATAAAAAAACAAGACAGATGAGGTTTCAATGGCGTTTGAGGCGAGGCAGATCTGAGAAGGAATATATTGGAAATTTTGTATGTTAAACTGGGAATTTGGAAGCAGAATGGAATCTGGGAATGGAATTCTGTTGGCCCAAGAATGGCTCGCAGATTTCTTGGCTCCTTGCCCTCCATTAGGCAGGTTGGGACTGGAATCCTGGAATCCTGAAATCCTGGAATTCTGGAATCCAGAGGCTGATCCATCCCGATCAGCAGGATTGCCTTGGGGAAACAGAGCTATGGRCACAATTTTCCCTCTGCTGGGTTTGGGGTTTCCTGTTAGGTATTCATCAAATCAGATGGGTGTTGTCAATATCCATCATTTTATTCCTTATATTCATATTTCTCTTCTTGCTCTTATTCCAGGGGCTCCATCCCAGCTCTGACTTCTGTTGGGTATTTCCACATTCCTGGTAAGAATCTGATTTTTTTTTCCAGCTTCAGCCAATCTGTCCATGTTGGGGTCTGGGAAGTCACAGGAAGGAGAAAAATTTGAGGTCAGGCTGTCAGGGATGGAATCTTTTCCATTCTAGAATTACTCAGCAAGAGCTTTCATTTTATTTAGAAAATGAAATGAATTTTCTTTATTTCATTTTATTGATCCRAGAAGCTCTGCCCCTTGAGCAGCTCCAACAGCTTTAACTCATGCTAGAATTCCTTACCAGAATTCATTTTTATATCACCTTGGTTTTTCCTTCATTTCACGCTTCTCTTAAAGTAAAGAGAGGAAAATTTGGAGATGAAATTTAGGAAAAATCAGTTTAACTTTCCTTCCAGCCCGTGAATTCTCTTCCACAGAGCTCTGCACCAGTTTGAGCCCACAACTGGGAGGAATCAGAGCACGGACACCTCGATGTTGCGTAAGCTCCTAAAGGGAGCAGATTTTTGTTTTGAGATTTTTTTGGGTTTGACGCGTTTGTCCRAAGTCGGGGCCGTTTTTGGGAGCTSGGAACATTCTTGCTGTTCTGCCTCAGGATGAAACTCAGATCACAGCAACTGGGGAGAGATCCCAAAATATTTGAGGCTGTTTAAGTGACTGTAGACCTAATTCAGAGTTCTTTGCTGAGCGAGGCCAAGCAGGGATTTGAACCTGATTTTTATGCGCGCTCTTTTCTTCTCTCTCCTCCTTTCAACTCCAAGTTCCATCTTATATTAAAGAAACCATCCCCGTGGATTTCGCAAAAATGGATTTATTCAGGTCAGACATTTTTTAGGTTTTTTTTTTTTTTTTTTTTTTTTTTTTTTTTTTTTTTTTTTTTTTTTAAACTGACCTGGTGTTTTATGTCTGGCCACCCCCACCCCTGAAACAAATAAATAGATTTAGCAGTGGAAACTTCCAGAGGAAATTTTATTTTATTTTCCAGCCTCTTTCTCTGGCCTGCTGCTCCCAAAATATGGTTTTTTTCAGACTGAACCAGCCAAACATTTCCTATGTTCATAAGTGATTGGATTCCTAAGTCTATGCTAAATTGAATTTAGTGCTGTCTAAATGTTGATGCTTCATTGATGCCCAGTGTCAATCCCAGCCTGCTTGGCTGGAATATAAATTCATATTTATATAAATTCCATTCCCAGAGGAAATTTCCCTGTTTTGGTTAATAATTGGGATTATTTTACAACAGTTTGGGTTYGAACTTTGCCCAAGTGAGTGATGTAAAGGACAGAGAGCAAGGGGAATGCCCAGGCTGGGRAGATGTGGTGTTTTGGGGACAATGTCCATGGCAGGGATGGCTCTGCTGGGTTCATTGACCTTTGCTGTCCTGGACAGAAAAGGAAACTCCAGTTTTTGCTGCTGGGTCCGGATGCTGAGTCACCTGTGTGGGGAAGGCAAACAGCCACAGGGCCGGTGTTTCACTGCGTGCCTGGGGCTGTCATCAGCTGCTCTGGGGCCGCTGTGGAGTCACTCACCCCTCTCYTGATCTCCATCATCACTGAGTAATTCCCTTGTCCCAGTTCCTTCCAAAACCAGGGGCAATATTTGGGTGTTTGGTGTTGGTGTTTCATTGATGCCCAGTGTCAATTCCAGCCTGTTTTGCTGGGACATAAATTTATCTTTATATAAATCTATATTCCAGAAAAACTCTATATAAATTTAAATAAAATATAAAAAAAATTATAAATTCTAGTTATATAATAGATTTTATAGACATTTATATTTTGTATAAATATATAAATATAAACAAATATATGAATATAAATAAATATATGAATATCAATCTATTTTATAAAAATATATAAATATATATAAAAATATACATATACATTTTATATAAATGTATATATATTTGTTTAGGGAACATAAATAAAAATAGATTTATTTTTATTTAATATGAATAGAAATTTATATAAAATACAGTAATTTATGTAGAAATTTGTATAGAAATAGATTTGTTTATATTTAGTATTTATTTATATAATTCACTGGAAGCCAGTTCCAGCTCCTCTGTGCCTTCTCCCAAATCCTGACCCGCTCTGGGGTGGAACCGATGAGTTGTCCCAGTGCTGCTGGGTTTCATTGCCCAATCCCAGGATTTCCCTGGGGGAAGGAACCACTGCTCCCGAATTTCTGCATCACTGCCTATCCCCAGCCATCCCAGTTCAGCCAGGGAAGCTGTTCCCACACTCTCTGCCTGCTCCAGAAAGCTTCCCGGTGCCTTCAGACCGAGAAACTTCCTAAAATCCCACTGGGCAGTGCATTGCTTATGGCGTGTTTGGGGTATTTCCACTTCTTCCCAGCAATCACCGAGATGGGAACCCCAGTTGAGGCTACCAGAAGGATTTTTCTCTAATCAGGCAGGATTCTGCTGGTGTTTGGGTCATGCTGCTCCCTCCTGCCATCCATGCTGAGCTGGGCGCGTTGCCGCTGCTGGGGATGCGGAGACGCAGGCGGACGGGGCTGGAATGCAAATGCGGCCCTGCAYGGCCACGTTCCCTCTCGCAGACGATCGATTCCGTGGCTGGCTGGCTCTTCCCTGTTAATCGGCCACGGGCAGGAGGCAGCAGGGTGAGGAGGAGGAGGAGAGGAGGAGGAAAACCTGTCAGGATGGTTTGATGCGGCTGCCGAGCCAATGGGAGGAGTGAGCCGTGGATTGGGCTCGGCTGAGCGGGGTTTGGGGGGGTTTTTAGCAACAGCAGAGAGCAGCTCTGTCCCCTCCCAGCCCYGCCACCAGGCTGGAAAGTTCCCARMCGTGGCCCTTAATGCGTTTGTCTCGCTCACGCCAAGTTCCAACGTGATCTGGGTGACTTTGCTGCTCTATCCCTCTGCCCATGGCCCTTGGGGAAGGGTGGAAGGGGATCTTGGCTTTATCTCTCCCCCTCAAACCAACCAGTTAGCTCAAGGTAGAGAGATCACTGCTTGACTCGGTGCTGGGTGAGCCCCGAGGACAAAAGGGAGTTTGTTGTTCCGTCTTTGGGGTTGGTGTTCTCTCTTTGGGATTGAGGTTCTCTCTTTGGGGTTGGTGTTCTCTGTTTGGGGTTGGTGTTCTCTCTTTGGGGCTGTTTTTCTCTCTTCGGGGCTGTTGTTCTCTCTTTGGGGTTGGTGTTCTCTCTTTGGGGTTGGTGTTCTGTCTTTGGGGTTGGTGTTCTCTCTTTGGGGTTGGTGTCTTGCTCTTGACCCCTTTCCAGGGCTGGCTGGGGTTCAAGCAGCCAATCCCTCGTGCCAGTGGACAGCTCCCATCTCCCATCTTTTTGGGGAGTCCTGATACAAATCCAGGTGATTTTTTTTACCCTTCCAAATSCAGGTCATTTTGGGTGTGGAGGAAAATCTCCTTCAGTGAAACCTCCCGAGGCACCATCCTGCCCTGCCTCCTCTGTGCCTCTCTGCCTCTGCCCTGCTCCATCCATCACCGCTTTAMCCAACCCCAAAATGGAAAAGGCATTCCAAAACGCCTTTCCAAAATTTGGAAATTCCACCCGAAATTCTTCCAAACCTTGTGAACATTTATCACACTTCCATCACCCTGACCTTCGCCATCCTCCTCTCACCTGTGCCATCCCAGGATTTCCCTTCTGGCGGATTTGTCCCCAGACTGGTGGGGACAATGACCGTGGGGACAGGGGGCTGGTGGCCTTGGGAGGGTGGCCGGTGATGTCTGGGTCAGGGAGTCTTTAATGCAGTGTCAGGGAATTCAGGCAGCTGTCATCGCTTCCTAATTAAAAATAGCTGAGCCTCGCTGGCGTTCCTGGGCTGTGCGTGGCTCATTTGTCATCCTGTCCCCTGCTCCGCAGCACAGCCCCCAAACACCTCGAGGAGCAGGAGGGTGGAAATTCCTGCAGGTGAGGAGGGCAGGGAGCAGAGAATCTGTGCCACGAGCTGCTCCGTGGGTCAGGAGTCGAGCAGAGTGCAAAGGGGATGAGGACACAGAAAAAAATGCATTTATTTTGTATTTATTTATATATATATGAACATATTTTATATGTATTTATATATATAAATCCATTCTCTATTTATAGATATAAATCCATTCTCTATTTATTCATCTTTATAAACCCATTATATATTTATGTATACTTATAAACCCATTTAATACTTATTTATATATTTAAACCAATTCTATATTTATT